TATGACAGCATACTGTAGAAGCTCAGCTTAAGAATTTGTTTCAACGTTCAATTAAATGTGAAGGAAAAAGTAAAACAGCTCTGTGTCTTCGATAAACTTCAAAATAAGCTTATCTTTACAATTTTGCAGTTAATTGATTGGATAGTTCTGAGTTTGTGCACAACCTTTAAACAAACACCAGTCTGTCAGTACTCTGAGTATTTGTTGGGGAGTATTCTCAGCTTCTACCAGATCAAATTTTCCCTCAGTATTTGTAAAACTGACTGAGTTGTATCAGTTTTGTGTTGGTTCTGTCTGCTTAGCTGTGGTAGCCATCTTGAATCAGAATAATCCATCCAATGATTACGTTTTGAGAGTTTCATCAAAGTCCATCCAGTGGTTTATGAGATATTTTACTAACAGACAGACAAACACACACATATGGTCACCCACCTTTTATGACTGGGATACCTAATTGTTACATGGGAACTGTGTACATTTAAAGTCTAACTTCGAACATAGAATACTATAAAATTTGGACATTCTTCTTAGACATGGCGATGGTTTCTAAGCTTCAACTCTGAGCCACATTTTGTCTCCGTCTGTTTCATGTGTCAGTTTGTTTCTCTGTCTTTCCATCCTCCAACATCAAACTTTCATTTTACCTTTCTCTCCCCATGTAGCCCCCATCCATCTTACCTCCTCTTTCCCCACATCGCTCGATTTTCTCTTATCAGGCCTGCCAGTTGAAATTTACGGCCTCTTTGGGTGGGGTGCACATCTGGATCTCATTTAGGAGAAACCATCCGGATTTTTTTTTCTTCTTCTCTCTTTTAMCCTTGCACTGCCCATACATCATGAGACATTAACCAGCTGTTTGTTTATCACCAGTGGAGGACGATAGTTTAAAAAGTGGCAGCATGAGTATTCCTCATGTTAAAGAGTAAAWCTTATTTAATGAGTTTGGGACAAGAGGTTTTGTGTTTGATGGCTGAAAGTTAGAAGATGTGAATGTTTATCCTGCTGTCCTCTGTGAACCGTGCACTTGGATGTGGCAAACTAGATGTTCTCTGTAAGATCGTGTGATGAGTGAGTCACCTTTAAAGCAAACAGTAAGAGAAACTGGGACATTAATAACACAGAGTGGCGCTTCTGATGGCCGTTAGCAGAAGTTTTTTTTTTTAAAGGGGAAAAGGTGAAATATTTTCTAATGCTAACACAAAAATTCCTCACATTCTCAGCTTCTTAATCTATCAGGGAAAGACTAAGTGCGTATGGTGTGTGTGTGTGTGTGTGTGTGTGTGTGTGTGTGTGTGTGTGT